CGCCCCCCCGCCTGCCAGCCGGGCCGGGCGGGGAATTCTGGGCGGGACCAAGGCAGAGGCCGGCCGCGGCCAGGGCGCCTCGGGCTACACCTGTCAGGCCGCGGCCGACTCTAGGCCCCGGAATCCCGAGGGGTCGGTGGCCGAGGCCGGCAGGAGGGCGTCACCAGGTCCCTAGCGCTGGGGTCGCCTTGCCTCCTTGCATTCTCTCTCATCCTTCTCAAACAAAGGCAATCTACACTCACCGCCATTTTCCCCTTACCTCAAAAACCACCTCTTCGTCAAACTCCGGTGTCATCCTTCTCCGCCATGCCACCCGCCTCAGCACGATGGGAAATGAAGGCGGGAGAACAGGCAGTATCGACGCTTCAGTTTCTGCGGGTCTCGTGGGTCTGAAAACTACCATTCCCAGCATGCCTCGCGAGTCACGCCCCCCCTTTTCAGGACCACTTATTGGATCAGAGCGTGAGCGTGTGGGCGGGAGAGGCGGGAACGGAATGAAGTGCGAGCGCTCTGATTGGAGGAGATTGGTGCTTTTGTCTGCCTTTTACGGCCGCGACTAGTAGGGGACGCCCGGAGCACTGATTTTTCGGAGCTTAAGTGGGGCACGCGCCTGCCTAGCTGCGGTGAGCGCTGCTCGTGCCCGCGCCTGGCCGTCTGCCCGGAGATCTGCTGGGCGGCGCTCGTGCTCGCCCGCCCGCCGCCGGCGCCCAGCGGCCGGGCGCGCCGCGGGGTCGGTGGTTCTAGCGCCCGGGAGCGCCGCGGGGTCGCTGGAGCCAGCCGTATCCTTTGTGCGGCGTTCAGACTGCGCGGCGGGGTCGAGGGACGGGATGTTCGCTCTGCGAGGGTTTTTCTCTTCTTCCCAAACTTTGGAAACAATGGACTGAAGGGGGAACATGGACTGAAAGGCGCGCGGAGAAGCGAGTTGCACGCGGGAATCATGACTTCTGTCGCCGGTAAGTGCCGACGCTCAGGCTGCTGCTTGAAAGTTTGCAGCCAACGCTGCTCCGCTGGGACTCTCCAGAAAGTTTCCCGGCTGGAGTGGGTGAGTCGGGTGCCCTCTACCTTCCCTCAGTTCCTCCGCAAGTGCGGAGCAGATGGGATTCGCTGCCCGACTGACTCTTCTGTTCCTGCGGAGAGGGCTGTTGGAAATCGTGGGGCTCAGGGAGATCTCCTTTCAAAGGGAGATCTGTCCTGGGTGGTCTTTACGCCAGGTAATAAGCGACATGTAAGGAGGACTTTTGCTCTTCTCCCTTCAATTTGGGCGACTTTGCGTGTGAAAGTAGTGTATAGTCCCAAGTTAAGAAATTTGTTATTCTAGGAAGGGGCAGTGTTCCTAGCGTTTAGAACTTGGTGACTGGGCTGAGTCCTTTTAAGCCTAGTATCCACTGGAAACTTAAACTAGATATTTAGACATTGTTACTCACGTATCTATTGTTACTTACGCCTCTATTACTTGAGAAGCAGTGGCGCACAATTGCCTATGGCAGTGTTTTTGCTCATCTTCAACCAGTTCCTTAAGGACTTTTTCCTGCTTTTACCTGGTTGGTGTAAACAAAGCCTTATCTGTCTGTCTCCCATAGTCCTTTCCCTTCATCCATATGACAAAGCCTCTATTTACCTTTGGCTACTGAGCAATTAAGATTATTGTATTTCCGAACACAGTTTTTATTTTCCAAAATAATCACTCAAGGGGTTGACATCCACTTTGTAAGAACATAGTTTTTTTTTTTTTTTTTTTTTTTAAAGCCAGAACTTAATGTTAAGAACTTGATAAGTACAGTATTAAGGGCTTTTTAAACACACACACACACACACACACACACACACACTTTTGTCTGCGTTCAAGTGAATAAACTTTCAGGTTTATAATAAGAGATCTTAAAGCTCTTCCTCACAGTTACTTCTGGAATCAACACTTAAATATCAGATTAAATTTTCATTGCTTTTTTTGGCATTTGTTTAAAATTCCTGCAACTCGAGATTGTCAAACAGCACTTTTAATGTTCTGATTGGTATTATTTCTAAAGCCCAGATGTATTCGAGTGTTTCATTGCTAGGTATACTCAGATTATAGCTACCCAAGCAAGAAGTTACCCAACAGGGTATTTGTATAGATGTTTTGAAGCCTGCCTTTAATGTTATGTATGTGAGATGTTATTATACATTTTTGTAATTGGGTTATTTATAAACTCTTTCTTACCAAAAGGAGGCTTCCTTTTCTATGATTACATAAGGTGAATTATTTTTATCCTAAATTATTCAAGTTTTCTTTTTAAAATTACTGAGCCAATCTAATTAAATTAAAACTGATTAGGCATTTTAAAATCCATTTAGCCAATTATAGTTCTTCCTTCCTTCAGAGTGTCAAATGTATTTAAAATATTCATACCTCATGTATCAGTTTTCAGTTCCAGTCCTAACAGTTTATAAGAACAGGTTCAGAAGAATTTAATTTGCTGTTTATAAATGTAAAACTGATTTTTAGAGCCTGTAATGGAAATTTATTATTCTTTCACTCAATTTATCCTAGAATAATATAAGCTATTTTTATTTTATCAACTTCACAATTAAAGAAATCCACAAACATTTTTGTGGCATTTAAAAAAGGGACACTTCCTGTGTCTGGCTGAGTTGGTTGGTTTTTAGCATGGCTCGTTGAAAAGCATTAACTACTTTTTTGCTCACCCCATCTGTTAAGATGTATTATAATGGTGAGGAAAATTATTTACAAGTGAGGGAGTGGAGATTTTTTTTTTTTTTTATCTAATCTATTTTGGAAGAGTTGATTTCATTTAAGAAAATAAGAATGTTGTAGAACACGTAAGTTGTATGTACCCTGAAGAAGAGCTTGCTTTGTTTTTCTGCATCTGTGGAGCAGGCCTTTTGTAGAGATGTTAGAATTACTCTATGCAGTATATAAAAAAGGAGAGATAATTATAGGTGTGTGTTTTATATCTTTTTGAACACATACAGGTCACTGTCTCATTAATGTCTATGCTTTGCATTTTGACTGTTCCAGTAGCCAGGATGATGTACACACAAACCACAACCATCTGTGTGTAACAGATGACGAGTATGTTTGTAATCGTTAGTAAAATGGTATTAGTGCTTTACTTTCTTACCTTATATTTCCCTGGAGCCAAACAGCTGTGTAAATAAAAGATTTGCTGCTTTGCTCAAAGAAACTTTGGGTCTGACTGTTGATACAGTATTAAGATCCAAAGATGCTGGATTTGTTTCCAAACACGGTGCACTTATTTCAAGAGTTTGACTTTGGGACCAGCAGTTAGTGTAATGGCTATGTCGCTGGACTCCCATGTAGTCAACCGCGGTATGAGTCCCGGACCCAGTGGCTTAAACTCACGCCAGGCATGTGTGTGTGCGTGCCCAATATCCCCAGAGGAGAATGGAGGAGAAGGGATTGTGGCGTGGCCATCCCTTCTGGGGGATGATTTCTCACTTTCTGTCTTCTCTGTCTTTCTGGCAAGCACATGTGCCCTATAGCAAAAACCTCTTAAAAAAAAAATATTATTGTACCTTAAAATGAGTATTGATTTTTCTTTTTAAAATGTAATTAATTATTACTCGGGACCAGCTGTTGGCATAATGGCTATGTCGCCTGACTCCCATCTAGTCAATTGCAGCTCAAGTCCTGGACCCAGTGGCTTAAACTCACACTGGACGCGTGTGCTTGTGTGCCCAAGATCCCGAGAGGAGAATGGAGAAGGGATTGGTGGTGTGGCCATACCCCCTGGGGGGTGATTTCTCGCTTCCTCTCTCTTTCTGGCGAGTGTATGCACCCTATAGCCAAAACCTCTTCTAAAAAATAAAAAAAGAAAAAGTAATGAACTATTACCAAGATGTATTAAAGAGAATGTGTATATGGCAGGTTTGGCTGTTCCCAATCCCTGTTTAAGTGCTGGAATGCTGTAGGTGAATGAATCATAGTGCCATTGCCTGCCCTTCTGGAGCTTGCCTCTTAGTAATAAAGATAGACAAAACTTTTTGGAAGAAAAATAACATAGAATAAAGAGACCTATTGCATATCAAAGTTGTCCTGAAGCAGATATTCCAGGAATTAGAACCCCAGATTCATGGGGATTGTAGAGATCTGTTGAACTTCCATTTCTAAGTAAGAAAGTAAGGCAGCCAACTTGCACAAATGTACATGATTAGATTAGCTGGCTGCCTGTTATTGGCTTCCTGCGATACACAGTTAGCTAACAATGGTAAGCCAAAGCTCACGGTGGTTTAATTAGTGAAGATCCATGGAGGGCTTTAGGCAGAGTGGCATTCTATATTTGTTGGGAAGCAATCCCAGCTCATATGTAGTTCATTGAATTTCTATGACATTAAGAGAGAACAGGAATTCTTGTCTCTTGAAAGCAGACAAAATACTCTCAAAGGAGTGAGCCAGCAGGTGGCGTGGTTAAAGCGACTAGATCCCACATGACTGACTGTGTGGGTGAGTCCTAGGCTATGTGACTTGAAAAACACTCTGGGCCCTTGTGTGCGCATGCCCAAAATCCTGAAAGGCGAATAGGGGAGAGGGAATTGTGGTGTGGCCATCCCCTCTGGGGTGGTGGGGCGGGGTGGCAGTCATTTCTCACTTTCTCTCTCTGGTGAGCACATGTGCCCTAGAGCGAACTTAAAAAAGAAGAGAAGAAAGGAGTAAATTGTAAATATTTTAAGAACAATTTAACTAAAGAGACAAATTTAAACTGGTTAAATGACTGAAGTTTCCCATGAAACTCAGAGGTTCAGAAAGCAATGGGTTGATTTGATGGGATAGGTTTTTTAAAAAAAATTTGTGATAAAATAAATTTACCATTTTAACCATTTTTAAATGTACAGTCAGAAGTGTTAAGTGCCTACACATGGTTGTGCAAGCAATCTCCAGAACTGTTTGCAGCTTGCAAAACTTTTTTTTTTTTTATTCTTTAAAAAATTGCATTGGTAGCGTATTTCGAGACTGATTACAGAAATGAAATCAACATGACAGTCCATCAGTTATTATTGAGTAAGTTGGGAGGCTGGGAAAAAGCCTAGGGCATTCATACTTTCTCTTAAAACTTGACTTACAGTTTGATTTAATTGACCATGATAGCATATTTTATCAATAGACTTTGAAGGGTTTTTACAGATATTTTCTGTCTAATAAAACCTAAAGTAAATAAAATGAACAGCATGTGTATTGAAAAGTTAACTGAAGTTATTTGGCTTTGGGACTTTGTATTATTTTGAGAATAATTGTTCTCATTATTGATGATAACATTATACCCAGGAGTTAAGTGACTAAGTATCTGCTATCATAAAGTCATGGTCGTACATGTAGTATTAGGGATTGAGGAAATTCTTCCTTGGTTGGTAAAAGGAACTAGAGCACCCTATTTTTGTTTTTAAACCTAGTTTTATATAATAGCTTCTCAAGTGTTGTGACTAGTTTCCTTTGTTGAAAAGAAAATCATCACCAAAGGAAATATCAGAGCGTCTGTGTATTCAAGTCATTAAGTAACATCTAGATGACCTTTGCAGCCCTTTTTAAAAATATTTTGCAGTTAATTAGGATTTTATTAAGTGTTAGATTGTACTGAAGGAACAAACATAAGATTAAAAAATGTTTTTTAATTGCAGTGGAGGGCATACCCCCCATGGGATGTGGCCATATTGCAGTCCCTTAATATCTCCATCCTGTCGGGAGTTGCGGCACACATATACACACATGCTTGACATGTTTTTCAAGCCACTGGGCCTAGATTCAAGCTGTGGTCAGCCATATGGGGTCTGGCTTCTCTTTTTTAAAAAATTAAGTTTATTTTGTTTTTGGTTATAGAGCATGTGCACTCGCCAGAGACAGACGAAAAGTGAGAAATCACCTCCCGGGCGTGACTGAGCCATGCCACAATCCCTTCTCCTCCATTTCTCCTTTGATTTTGGCACACACGCAAATGTGCTCGGCATGATTCATCAGGTCAGGGGCTTGAAACGCAGGTTGACCTTGTGGGAGTACAACGCCTTAGCACTGTGCCACCTGCTGGTCCTCTGGCTTCTGTTAATCACTAGGATATAGAGCTAGCCCAAAGTAAAACTTTTTTTTTTCTTTTAGTTGTTTGCTCTAGGGGTGCATGCACTCGCCAGAGAGAGAGAGAGAGAGAGATTTTTTGAGAGGGAGAAAGAGAAAAAGTGAGAAATCACCACCTCCAGGGCTGAGATGGCCATTCCATAGTCCCTTTTCTAGTCTCTTCTTAGGATTTTGGGCACACATGTACACAGGCCCAGCTATGCCACCTGCTGGCCCAAAAATTTGATTCTTATTTTTTTAAAGATTTTTGCTATAGGATGTGTGCGCTTGCCAGAAAGACAGAGAGAGACAGAGAGACAGAAACTGAGAAATCATCCCCTAGGGAGGATGGCCACTTTACAATCCCCTCTCCTCCATTCTCCTCTCAGGATCTTGGGCATGTATGCACACACACCCAGCATGAGTGTTTAAGCCACCTGGTCTGGGACTCGAACCATAGTCGACTACAAGGGAGTCTAGCGACATAGCCATTATGCCAACTGCTGGTCCCAAAAAATTCAATTCTTAATACTTGGCGAATGACTGAAAACGATCCCAATCACAAGTCAATTATTTCATTTATTGTCAACTAAGGATATAGTACCTGTTCCAAAGTAAAAGTAAAACTAGTATCGGACTTATCAAGAAATGTATGAGGGAACCAGTAGTTAGCGTAATGACTATGTCGCTGGACTCCCACGTAGTCGACCGCGGTTCACATCCCGGACCCGGTGGCTTAAAACTCACGCCGGGCACGTGTGCGTATGTGCCCAGGATCCTGAGAGGAGAATAGAGGAGAAGGGATTGCGGCGTGACCATCCCCCCTGGGGGATGATTTCTCGCTTTCTGTCTCTCTGTCTCTCTGTCTGTCTGGCGAGCGCACATGCCCTATAGTGAAAATCTCTCCAAAAAAAAAAGGAAATGTATGATATTGGGTTAGCCAGCTGGCATAATGATTAACGTGGCTGGATCCCACATGGCCAGCTGTGAAGTTCAAGTCTGGACCCAGCAGCTTCAAAAACATGCTGTGTGAGTGAGCATGCGTGCGCGCATGAATGCCTAAATACCAAGAGGAGTATGGAGAAGAGGGATTGTAGTGTGGTCATTTCCCTCGGTTGGTGTTTTTCATTCTGTTTCTCTCCAGCAAGCATATATGCTCTATAACAATTTTTTTTTTAAAAAAACTAAAGTGTGATATAGACAATGCCGTGACTTTTGGAATTTAAGCACAATTTAGTGAATTTTCAAGAGTAATATTGACTCCATATAATATAATCTACCTAGTAAAATGCAGGTTCAGTTTTTTGTTTGAAAGGATTATTTATTTTATTTTTTTTATTTATAATTATTATTTTTTTAATTTGCTATACAGCCTGTGTGCTTACCATAGAGAGAGAGAGAAAGCAAGCTGCCAGGTCCAGGACACAAACTGCGGTCAGCCATGTGGGAGTCCAGCGCCTCAACTACCACACCACCTGCTGGCTCCCAGATTTATATTGTTAAAAGTGAAAATGTTCATCAAATTGTATCCCGTACCATATTGTGCTTTGGTTACTTGACATCAAAATATTCATTTTTTTTTTTTTCCTTTTCTAGAAATGAAGAAGCCACCAGTGGCTCCCAAGCCAAAGTTTGCCATGGCAAGTAATAAGCCAGCTCCACCTCCTATTGCACCCAAACCCGATGTTGTGATTTCCAGCACTCCACAGTCAGCAAAGAAAGCCAAACCGGCAATAGCCCCGAAACCAAAAGTCCTGAAGAGCTCACCTGTTCGAGATGTCGGGCAGTCAGCATCAAGGATTACCGCCTTGAACCTGGAAGAGCATATGCAAGAATTACCTGAAAGCCCTGACAACTTCAATTGCAAAAATGTAAGGGATCGGAGCAGCAATTATATTTTACCAGTAATGTGTTCCTGCAATTCTGAGTGTATCCATAAGCTTGAGAATAGAGGGAATTTGTGTGTGAAGCAGCTCGTTTTAGAGCCTCTAGAAATGAATGAAAACTTAGAAAACGGTAAAACTGATGAGTCTTCTTTGACTATAAAAACTAGGGGCAAATGTGATTCTCAGGACGAAAAGGTCAAGAGCCAGGGTAGAGTTGTTTTAAAAGCGAGCATCCTCGAAGAGAAGCTCAAAGATGTCCTAACACAGCAAACGTCACCTTTGAGTTTCCCACGGAATCAGGGATCCACAGGAAGCCCAGAAATGAATGGCGGCTGTAATTCCAACAGGCAGTTTGGAATTGAACTTGCAGGCTCGTCACCTTCTTTGTCCAGCTTTGAAAAGGTGTGTGATCATCACACTTACCACCTACAGCTTTCTAGTGAGGAATCTCAACATTTTGAGACTTGTCAGAATGATGGCGAAAAAAGCAATAGTTCCTTTCATTCTTCTGAACTAGAAACTCTGGAGAACGGGAAAAGGAGTACTTCGATGTCTTCAGATGGAGTTAGTAAGAAATCAGAAGTCAAAGATCGGGATCCCTTAGAAATTCACTTAGTACCATGTACTCCAAAATTTCCGACCCCCAAGCCCAGAAAGCCACGTACTGCTCGCCTATTACGCCAGAAGTATGTAGATACTCCCAGTGAAAGCACTGAAGAACCAGAGAATTCACTCAGTAGCTCTCGTCTCACTGAAGATAGTGTGAAACACAGTCCATTGTGTGTTCTTCAGAATGTTCCGTGTAACCAGGAGCAGATGGATGTGCTGAAACCAGGAAATAAAAGTGAATCAAATATGGACTCCAGTGGTACCGAACAGGACCTTGTCGAGTCACAGAAAGCCACGTGTCATGAAACATCTTCCTCTGAAAATATGCCACCTTCTTTAGATACAGACTCTAGTCTGAGCTCAGACAGCACGATGACAGTAGATGGTTCTAGTATGTCACTGGCTGTTGACAAAGGGACCAGTTTTACAAGATGCAGTGCTATATCTATGAGCTTGCCTAAGCAACTCAAATTAACTTGTAATGAACATTCGCCTACTGACTGTCATGTGGGAGTGTCTGCTGCTCAAAGGCAAAAGGAATCTATAATAAAAGAGGAAAATTCCTCCAAAATTATCCCCAAAAAACCTCAACGACACAGCTTGCCTGCTGCAGGAGTGCTTAAAAAGGCTGCCTCGGAGGAGCTCGTGGAGAAAAGTTCGTATCCCTCAAACGAAGAAACAAACTCAGAGCAGAGTCTAGAAAGAAATTGCCTTCGGCAACTGGGTGCCCCAAATCATAGCATGTCATCCTGCCTTGATATGCCTAAACGGGCTTCAGAAAAGCCAGTGTGGAAATTACCTCATCCTATTTTACCCTTTTCTGGGAACCCAGAGTTCTTAAAGTCTGTCACCATTTCCTCCAGTAGCGAGTCTTCAACTGCCCTAACCAAGCCTAGAGCAAAATCACTATCTGCTGTGGATATGGAAAGGTGCACTAAGCCTTGCAAAGACACCCCAAAGAAAAGCTCTTTTAAAAAATTGCTTAACATGAAGCTGTCTATCTGTTTCATGAAGAGCGACTTTCAGAAATTTTGGTCCAAGAGTAGCCAATTTGGAGACACAGCCACAGGCCGAGTCTCCGCTGGGGAGCGGAAAGGCATGGAAAGTGATTGGCATGGCTGGTTTGCTGGAGAGGACAAGAAAACCAAACCCAGAAAGGCCTACTCTGCAGATAACTACAGCCTGGAATCTCAAAAGAAGAGGAAGAAGTCTCGGGGCCAGACCAGTGTGGCAAATGGGCCGAGAGCTGAGTCTTTGGATGACCAAATGCTCTCCAGGGACCCATCAGCTCAGGCGCTTTGCAAGTCTGTTACAAGCGTCTGTGCACCGGCGTATGAAAATGTACGCCATTATGAGGAAATACCAGAGTATGAGAATTTGCCATTTATTATGGCTGGAAGGAAAACCCCACAGTTGGAACTGCAGAATTCCAGCAGCGTAGAGGATACGAATGCAAACGTATATGAGGTAGAAGAGCCATATGAAGCCCCAGATGGCCAGCTGCAACTTGGAGCCAGACATCAGCAGTCCAGGTAACACGCTGGCGCCAGACAGACACTGTGCTTTTGTATGCATCGTTGCAGTTAACCTCCTGCAGCCCTGTGAGATGGGCCTGCCAGGGGGGGAAAAAATGACTTGGTGGGGGAGTGGTTTAGAAAGTGTATATGACATTATTCCCAAGTGCCGCCTCATTTTATCATACAGTCAAAATGAATATCTGCAATGCAAGCTTGACTAGTTCATTTATTTTAGTAGCTGATTGAAAGAATTTGAACCAGGAGCTCTGTACATACTAGAAGGAATATCTGGAACAGATAAGATCTGGGGCTTCTGAGCACTAACTCAGAAGTCATAGCAGGGAGCCTGGGGCAAGAAACTGGCCAATTCAGTATGGTTTATTTGCCCATGGTACAGAATTTGAAGATATTGAAACCTATGCATTTACCTGTGTTGCCCTTGTGAGACAAAACCTCTAAATTTGCACACGTTCCTGCTCTTTGAGGATTAGTCATCTTCTGTTTCGGTGGCTAATTGCTGACCTCAGATGGAGGTAGGAAAAATCAGGCAACAACGTAACTACTCTTTCCTTATCACTTTGTCTCTGCTCTCCCTAACTTTGGGATACCCACTGCATTCCTCTTATTGAAATCTTGTCCACCCTTTATGGTCTATTTCATTAGTCATTTATTGATGTGTCTTGATGTTCTATGTTCGTTTGTAAGCTCCATAAGGAGTGCTGGTCTCAAATTTTTATCCTGTAAGAGGCCAAGCAAGGGGCCTACCAGGAATCAGTAAGATGTTTGGGTGTCAGAGAGATTGAATGAAAAGAGGCAAAGGAAACAACTGCTGAGGCTACTTCCTTCTTTCTCCACAGTCACAAAGGCCCTTTGCATTGCACTCCATAGCCTGTGCATCGTATTTAAAATGGTCATTTTGTGTTTAATAAAAAACACACAGAGGGGCAAGCAGGTAGCATGGTGGTTAAGGTGCTGGATTCCTGTATGGCCGACTGTGCAGTTTGAGTCCCATACCTGGTGGCTTGAAAATCATGCTGGGTGTGTGTGCGTATGTGCCCTGAATCGTGAGAGGAGGATGGAGGAGAAGGGACTGTGGCATGGCCTTCCCTCCTGGATGGTGATTTCTCATTTTCCTTCTTTCTGTCTTTCTCTGGTGAGCACATGCACCCTATGGCAGAAGCCTTAAACACAAGCAAAACACACACACACCCCTTTTGAAGTCTTCAGATATTGTTAGACTACTAACTTCAGGTCTTTCAGTAATTAGGTCTTTGTTTTTTTAAATAATTATTTCTTTCATTAAAACAAATATTACTAGTCTTCAATTTGACCAGAGAGAGACACAGAGCAGTAGAGAGGGGAGAGTGAGAAAGCGAGCTTCAGGTGCAGGACTCAAACCATGGCTGGCCATGTGGGAGTTCAGTACCCCAACCATCGAGCCACCTGCCAGCCCCGGTAATTAGGTCTTAAAATGTGACTTTTGTAGAAACACTAACATACCTGGCAAAGTGGGGGGGTTGGGCTAAAAAAAAAACAAAACAGTTATTGGGCAAATGGAATAAAATTCTCAAGCAAGCCAGGTGCACCAAGTAAAACAGTTTTAAGTTCCTTTGTCTTGAAGATAGCATTTTTCTTTATTATAATCCTCTCCACTCTTCCTTCTTTTACTGTAAAAGGTTATTTGCCTCTCGTTGCCTAATTTTTCCATTCTGTTTACATCTGTCTGCTTCATGAAGATTAGTGTTTAGGCAGAGGTCTTCGTTTTGGCATACATATTTCAACAGAAAATTGGAGTTACATATCCGACTATTTTTTTAAAAATGGTTTATTTTCCTGTGTACTCTTCTCTGTGGAGCAGTTTTATGGCACTGTCCTCTTTTGAACATGCTTTTGCATATTGTTTGTGGGTGTGTAATGAATTTGGTTGGCTTCTTTATGATATACTACTCTGCTTGGCTAAGATCAAATGTGTTCTTGGAATTGGTTTGGCCCTGGGATGAGTTTCCTTTGGCTCTCACATTTAAATCACAAAGGTTTACCACTGTTTCTGACCTAGGCTCTTAACTTCTGGAACTTGTCCTTTCATTACCTGGTTTCCTTCTCTTGCTGTTATGGCCCTGCTTCTCCAGTGGGGGAAGCTAGGCTGGAAGGGGTTAATGTCCACAGCCAGCCAGTTCAGCTGGGCAGCATTCAGAAGGAGAGTTCTTTCTTGAGGCCACAGGAAACCGAGGGCGGCTTTGGACAGGTTGCAAGTTGTCAAGTAGGGCAGCTTTGTAAAGGGTGGGTGCGCTCTGCTTTTGAATTTTGCTTTCCACAAAGATTTCTGTTTAGGCCTCGAGCAGGGAGCCCTAAACAGGCTTGAGACAATTAACATGAGCCAGGAGAATCAAAAGGCTCAATCACAGGGTCAGACGCAAAGGATTGCCTTGGAGGTTCTTTGGTACAAAACAATGAATAGAGCAAGAAAGCAAAATCTAAGCCTTCATGAGGAAGATACCTGGACACTCTAAAATAAGGTACATGGGAAAGGGATCATACATTTCGGGTTTGGTAACCTGGCTGTTGATAAGAGAGACCTTGTGCCTTAAATAATTAATTCTAAATCTAGGTCCAGCCACAGTGGCCTGGAGGCTAAGGTGCTACCAGCGTGTTCTTGGAGCCACATGGAGGTCCCGAGTTTGGATCCCAGGTCCACCCAAAGATGCCCGTGTTCCTGTCTGACTGGGAAACTGGGTGTGGAGGATCACAGGACGGTCCCTGCAGGTGGCACAGTGGTGTAGGGGTAAAACGGGATGCTCTGCAAGGCTGACCCACAGGGGAAGATTTTTGTTTTGTGTTTAGAGAGTTCCCTGACCATACGAGGCACACATGCCTGTTATCTGGGGATGGATTTAAGTGCCAGGATTGTAGTATTGAAGGTGCTCTCTGTCTCTTGCTTATTGAAGAAATAAACTTTAAAAAGTTTTTAAAAATACACACACTGAAAAAAGAATATGTGTCCTTCTACTCTGGTTCTTCCCTCTCTTTCTCTTGAAAGAAAGAAACTAAAAATATCTCTTAAGATCCTCCACGTTGCCTGGGGGTTCTGACATGATAAGAAATGCAGATAAACCCTGTTGAAGATTTTTCTGCTGGAGTCATATGAACAGTGTTTTGAACCCCTCAGGGAAGAATCTGGGTCTTACCTAGGGCTCTGGGTCTCGGAGAATTCCTAGCCTTAGCGTTCATCTATATAGCCAACCCAGTTCTGGATTAATAAACAGACATTTGGGAAGCTTGCAGGTAGCTCATAAAGTCACCTTGTGTAGAGTAACTCATGAATTCAACAGTTTAACTTTTACAATTTGTAACAATGTATGTATAATTTATCAGGAGAAAGCCAACCAGTAGTTTGGTGGTTAAGGCGCTGGACCCCACATGGGGAACTGTGCAGTTTGAGTCCTGGACCTGGCGGCTTAAAAAGCATGGTGGGCATGCGCGTGAATACGTGTGCAGGCTCAAAATCCCAAGAGGGAAATGGAGAAGGGATTAGGCATGGCCACCCCTCTGGAGGGTGCTTTCTCACTTTCTCTTTCTCTGTCAAACACATGGCACCCTACAGCAAATTTTAAAATAATAATGATAATTTATCAGGAGATAATTGCAGGCAGTCCCCAATTTCTAATAGAGTTATATTCTAAAAAAAAAAAAAAAAAAAGTTCACTGTAATTTGGAACTCCAAGTTTCCCAAAGAAAGTTTTGGAAATGGTGTCCCAGTTTAGTCTCACATGAAATTAGCCATTACTGTCCCCACAGACCCCCGTGAGGTCTTGTGGCCCGTCTTTGTGCTCTCTAACACAAGCTGGGCCGAAGCTGCAGCCTCGGTCAGGGTGGGGTAGAGCACCTGGGATCTTAGAGGCACATGAGGAGGAAGGTTTGTGGACAGGGTGAGGTGACTAAGGAAGAATGAGGAAATTGGAGGCTGGGCATGCTGCGAGGAAGCCTCTAAGTCACTGGGAATGATAGGGGAAGGGAAGGGTGGGGTGGTTGGTAACTAACAGTCAGCAGATTTTTTTTTTCCCCCAGTATCTTTTGCTCCTTATTTTCTCTTCTTCTGCCTGTTTTCCTTGCTAACTGCATGATCCTGCTAATTGCATGTCTGACCCCAGGCAAGAATAAGTAGAAGAAAATGGGGTAGGGGAAGGAGAGGGCTCTGGGAAGCCCCAGAGTGGGGAAGTGGGGAAGCAGCTTAATCCAAGGGATGGAGGAGGGTGGAAAGGGAGTTCCCAACAGCCATAGAAACATAACTGTCTGTGTGCCCAGGTAGGTGATCTTTCGGTCACTGCTCTGAGTTCTTGAAGACAGTTCTGTGAGCAGTAAGATTTTGAGCCACTTTTAGGTATTTTAGGTACAATTATGAGACATCCTCCTTGAAATATTTTATATATACATAAAACAACTAGCAGACAGATCTTCCTGTCTCACTGAGTAGCAGGGGTCAGGTACTCACTACTGCTTTTATTTAGTTACATTTTCATAGGAAAGTTTCTAAAATTAGAACCTTTAATATTAAAGAGTTATAGACAAATCAGCAAAATTATGATATCTAAATGTTGGAATTTTCCTTCTTCTTGAAATTGAGGCAGTCTTCTTGATTCTATAACCAAGGAAACTTATCCTGGAAATGTGCCAGGCTTTTCCTGTGTTGTTTTAGTTTGTTCTGATTAAAAGTACTTCAAAGAATGGTCATTGGGATTTCCATGGAAACTTACCAAGCCTCAATTTATTCTAAGGATACTGACCAGGTGTCAAGCAGTGTACATTCAAAGGTAAAATGAGGTGTTAATTTAATATCCCTAAAAAACTGCCTAGAGAGATGACCAATATTTAGAGTATAATGTGGTTTTATTTTTTATTTTTTTGGAGAGGTTTTTTGCTATAGGGCACGTGCGCTCGCCAGACAGACAGAGAGAGACATAGAGACAGAAAGCGAGAAATCACCCCCCCAGGGGGGATGGTCACGCCACAATCCCTTC